TCTGATTCTTTTCTCAGGCTCTGCTTTCAAACCAATACAGTTTGTACCGGAACTGCTTCTGCACCTACAAGATGAGACTTGGATAATACACAAGAAAACTGGCAAAAACGACATCATTACTAATTAACATATGCAATGATGGTAATTCCTAGCACTCCTAAAATCACAATTTACAAGATTCACACAAGGGAGCAAGGAATTGGGGTGAGGTACACAAGAACGTAAAGTATCGCCGAAATCGGTTTGGTTCAATGGATAGAGCATCGGCTTGGGACTGAAGGGACCCCGGTTCGATTCCGGTCAAGGGCATGTACCTTGGTTGCGGGCATATCCCCGGTAGGGGGTGTGCAAGAGGCAGCTGATCGATGACTCTCTCTCATCGATGTTTCTAACTCTCTCTCTCTCCCTTCTTCTCTGTACAAAATCAATAAAATATATTTAAAAAAAAAAGAATGTAAAGTATCGACTTATTGGCAGTATGGGATACAATGATAATTATGTAGTTTATAGAGTGAAAGGGCTTTATTAAGTCTTCAAACATTATTCAAATGGCTGTTCAAAGAAATATTAAACCAAAATATTCTGTGAAAGTAAAAAATATTATTTGGCAGTGTTTAAAGATACTTTTCTTCTGCAGCAGCAGCCAACTCAATTCACAACCTCAGGCAAAGTATCCAGGTAGAAAAAAAAAAAAAAAAAATGAGACCCTGACACTGGATCAGGGTAGGGTGGAGAACAAACCTGAAAATCTTGAATCACCAGGTTCTTCTGTGTTCTGCTTCTGAGGAGGTAGTGGAAACACTTCTAAGGATCACAGGAAGGTTTCCTCTGAACTTAAAGCTATGACTACTTTTACATGGTCATTCTGGACTCCTCACATCAGTGGGATAGTGGGCAAAGAAAGAGTTATCAGTGGAGATTATTGACTCTGACTCCATTAAGGAGCTAGGATCACAATGACATGATAGGAAAGGAAGGGGTTATCCAAAACCCAGGGGATGCAGAGGGATGCCTAAAACCCAGGGGGAAGATTAACTCAGTGCCCAGTGATAACTCTGAGATTGTGCTTGCTGCAACCATGACCCAAGAAGCATAAGGGACTTTAGGAATAAAGGCTCATGTCATCCCATCCATCGGACTAGAAATTTAGAATACGCCAATGGTTGGCACTGAGAGGGAAATAGGAACTTGTAAGAGTAAGAAGATAAATACGATTCTCTCAGCATGAATTGCAGCAGTAAAGATAAAAGCCTGTTCTACTAACTCTTCCTTGTAAATGTTGAATTTGGCCATTATATTGAACTCTTGACTAGATTTAAGTGAGGGTATCAAAAAGTAAGAGCATTTCAAAGGTGGATTACATTGATCACTTTTTTTGGCCTAACATCTTCACTCTTCCAATTTCCTTCAGCCATTGCATTCATTGTCAACTGTCTTTCCCTTGAGACAGCAAGACACCATCACTTTTCAGATGCACTGAACAATCTACTTTCTGCCACTGTCTCTGACGTTACAGTGTGGGACATTTATGAGAAGCTGATTTGATTTTCACTACATGAATACCAATTAGTCCTGTTATCACCATATACAACCCTTGACCAATTCTAAATAAAAGGTTAGTATGCAAACAGAATGGTGGAACCACCAGTCGCAAAGACATGCACTAATCACCAGGGGACAGACGCTCAACACAGGAGCTGCCTCCTGGTGGTCAGGGCACTGCCACAGGGGATACCTGCTCAGCCAGAAGCTGGGTTCATGGCTCCACAGCATCACTAAGGATGTCCGACTGCAGGTTTAGGCCTGTTCAGTCAGATATCCCTGAAGGCTCCCAGACTTTGTGAGGGCACAGCCCAGGATGAGGGACACACTCTCCCCTCCCCCCAGTGCACAATCCCATGCACTGGGCCTTTAGTAGGAGATAAAAGCCAGTCAAAACATTCTGGTTTCTACCATTATTCAGGGGGACCAATCCGAGTATTCTATGCACTATATTTCAGATATTCCTGGCAGGATAGAGACCAATTATCCACAGCAATGACCAGCTCAATGACATGGCCCTGACTTTCCTTCCTTTCTTGTTCACTTTCTTTGTTCCACATTCCTGTTTCATTAGTTCCAGAAATAAAATATTAGCATGCAAAGCACTTCTGTTTCAGCTTTCTGATGGAAACTTAGTTAACTGAGAGACAGCTTTAGACGATAAAAATATAATTGCTAAAATTAAAATACATGAATCAAAAGACACATTGGAACATAACATAAAGGAAACCTAGAGTAAAAGAAGGCAAAAAAAAAAAAGGGGGGGGGGATCACTAATCTAGGTCCAGTTAAGATGAATTGAATAAAAAAAATAAAGGAACTGCAGTCTAAAGAGCAGAAAATTACAACACAATGCAATGAAGTTTTCCAGGGTAGACAGGTATATGATCATCAAAAAGAAATGGCTAATTGAGCGCCAACCTGGATGAATATTCATTTTTGTGAAATTTCAAAGGGTATATGGAAGATCTGAGAAGGGAAACTGAAATAGAAATTGCACCACCATAAGTCTTGTCATCAACTAAAGGATATCACAGCAATGTCTATATTTATGAGAAAAAATATTAATCTAGAATTTAACTTTCTCCAAATTATCAAGTGTCATAAAATATCAAATATTTTAGAAATCAAACATTTTACCCACATCAGGCAGAATATACTATGATTTATAACTCAAAAATCTCCCTAATGTGCCTGGCTGTGTGGCTCAGTTAAATGTTCCTTCCTTTCGGTTACACTTTGAGATTTAAAATAAACCTGTAGGCTTAATTTTTCAAATAGGTAAATAGAACTACAACAGTACAGAAACAGACAGACTCATAGAGGACATTCTGATGTTTGCCAGATGAGAGGGAGTGAAAAAAGGTGAAGGAATTAAGCAGCACTAATTGGTATAGAATAGTTATAAAGTATTGCATAGGGAATATAGTCAATAATATTCCAATAACTATGTATGATGTCAGATAAATACAAGATTCATTGGGATAATCAATAGGAATATAGTCAATAACATTCCAATAACTATGATTGATGTCAGATGGATACAAGATTCACTGGGATAATACTTTATATGATGTCTGATCACTGGGGTATATACCTAAAACTAAGATAATGTTGTATGTTAACTATAATTAAAAAACAAGCAACAATGAAAAACAAAACAAAGACTATTTTAGGCTTCTGAAATGCAGAAAATATTTCCATCCATATTATATAAAAGTACCATTTTCTACTAAAATCACAATGCATAATTTTATAATCAGAATACAGCTGATTAAAGCCTCAAAAGAATAGTGAATATAAGGGAAAATATTCTAAACTAGAGGCCTAGTGCACAAAATTCATGCACAGGTAGGGTCCCTAGGGCTGGATGGCAATCAGGGCCCCTCGGGCTGCCAGCTGGAGCCTTCTTTCCCTGGCTGCTGGCTGGCGCCTTCGTTCCAGGCTGCCCCCTGGTGATCAGTGCACATCATAGCGAGTGATTGAACTCCCAAGAGGACACATAAAAGCAAACTAAGTTTTAAATATCCTTCAAGAGTATAGTTCCTGGGTTCCCCTGTTCAGATCAATAAATATAGATTAAATGTCAAATTGAGCATAATTATACTATTGTATTATGAAGACAGAAAATTAAGTGGTCAAATATTCAAATATGCCGTGTTTAGATATTCAACCTAAGAAAGCCCAATATTTCAGGTATAACGCAAGAAACTAAAATGCAAAAAAATCTTTATTATACTGCTTTTTCATGTGGCCCTCTTTTTATATGGCTTGCTACTATTGGGAGGAATTGATGGTTAACTTAAAATGTGTAACTATTAAGAGGGTTACATTTTAAAAGTAAAGTAGAAAAACATCCATAAATTAGCTCACTTAACAAATATGATTATGAAAGAAAACTTGAAATAAGCAACCATGTGACCAGAGTAGATCCTAAAATGTTATCAGATAAAGGCTTAACCAAAATCTCAACACAATTCCACTGTGTACAATTAGTTCTTACATTAGAAATAGAAGTAAACTTTTAATATAATTGGCTCAGGTCAATTATTTCTGGCAAAATATGCAAAAACAGGCAAATGGATTCCTACAATTACTAAACACAAAACATTATTTTATGTCTACCAATGCATAAGAAAACAAACTTGCTTAAAGACAAGAAATACAACAGATAGTCAATCTTTACCATTTTATTTTATACAAAACAGTAGCAATGTAGAATGTGGGAATTATCTTCTGCTGCCACACAAGCAAGTTGTGAACATTCCAAGCCAATGTTTACAGTTTGGAGGGGAAGGCTAAACAACAGCATCAACCATGCTACTGAACATATGAATTTTGGAATTTTTCTTTAAATGAAAAAGGTTAAAAATTAGATCGCAATGTCTTCATAATATTGCTCTCCTCATTGAAGACTAAAGAAAAATAAAAAGTCACTTAAGATTTAAAAAAGGAGGGAAAGGGAGAAACCAAGAGGCTGCTACAACACTGCCATACAGTCAAACCATCATACTTCAATAATTGCATACTTGATAGCAGCATTATTTTTACTGAACCGTGTGCAACTACATGTAGAAACACATCAAAGCAAAATATCATGGCAGTTATCAATCAAAATCCAAAGGAAAGAAAGCAAACAAAAAAATAACTCTAGGATGAACACAGTGTAAGTAGATGAACATTTATAGAGAATCAATCAATATCTACATTCGTGGACTGTTCCATTCTGCCCCTAATAAAAGTGTCAACTCAAATTGTCAATTATGCATTTTTTGGAGGATCTGAGTTTTTCCAGTTCTTATTATACTGCATGCTTGGAACAAATAGGGTCATAATAAATCCTTCTACACAATGAACTTTAAGTAGACAGCTGAAAATAAATTTACTACTTGTAAACACACACAAAAAAAATACAAGATTTTTTTTATCTTTAAACAATCAGTGCTTCCAAAAGCTCATTATCTTCTGTATCGACCTCTCTCCCCTCGGTCTCTGTCCCGATCACATAATCGTTCTCTTTCTCTCTCTCTATCACGTCCTCTATCTCGCTCTCTGTCTCTTCTGTTATCTCTGGGACGGTCTCGCTCTCGTTCCCGGTCTCTTTCACGGGGTCTACTTCTCCGACCACTGACAACAGCTTGTGTGCGACGAAGGAAATCATCCACCCTCATATCATAATCATGCTAGAAAAGGTAAAAGAAATGGCTTAGGTATGTCAAAAATTGAATGGAATAACGAGTCACTATTATTATTGCCTTGTAGAAAGAATGAATATAGAGAATGCAATAATACAGTAATTCACAGAATATAATTCTGACATTTAGAAACAGGACTCTGAGGTTTTAACTAATTAGGTATCTACAACAGAGGATTATATCTATCTCAAAAACCATTTCATGCAGTTTCTGAATGTAACTTAAATGACTTTCCCATCCAATCCCTTTAAATGAGATTTAGGCCAAAGTAAACACTAATGACCATCAACCACATCATGCATATATGCTGACAATAATGCTAAATATCATCAATATTTTCCTATAACAGGTAAACCCTACGGATGATAATTTTCTCCGTTGATTCTATAAGCTAACTTGAACCAAATTCTAAACTCTCAAAGAGAAGGTAGGAATTCTCACAATTCAGATGTCAAACTAAACCACTATTGATGGCAGTTTATGAAATCTGATAGAATTTTTTAAAAATATGTACTTCAGGTAAGATTCTGGAATCTATTCCACACAAAGCTAGTAATAAACAAAAAAACATTAAAAAATAATAAAGTTGCATCTTATTGGTCATGTCACATAATTGGTCAGGTTACATCTGATAGGTTAATTCTTGGTACAGAAATCCTTATATACAACTATAGGCATTTCATTTTTTTAAAAAGTCTCCTTGAAACAAAAAGGTAACAAATCAATAAAAACTATATCTATTTTCCTGTCATATCAGCAAAAAATATATTTTTTAGTATGCCGCATAATTTTATGTGTACTATGAGATAAAAAAATTGAAACACAACGGATGACAGCATCTCAAAGTCAGGCTACAGAGTTAACTAATGGGCATACTGACCCTCTCAAATATGCATACTCTTCATGTAAGTGGAAGATAAAAGGATATTTATTTGGGGAGGTAGGGATTGGTGGGTGAAATTTCAAATTATAAATCCTACTTTATCAAACTACCCTTGTAAGGCTACCAAATCTACATACAAAGAAACTGTGTTAACAAGTACCAACTTCACTTTTAAAAATAAAAGCACTGCTGAAACCGGTCTGGCTCAGTGGTAAGAGTGTCGGTCTGCAGACTAAAAGGTCCCGGGTTTGATTCCAGTCAAGGGCATGTACCAAGGTGTGTGCAAGAGGCAGCTGGTTGATGTTTCTCTCTCATCGACGTTTCTAGCTCTCTCTCTCTCTCCCTTCCTCTCTGTAAAAATCAATAAAATATATTTAAAAAAAAAACAAAAAAACCACTATTAGGGAAAAAAATGAATACCATATAATAAACAAAATCAGCCTGATTATTATACTAAAAACCCAATAACTAGAGATTGTTTTTCATTCATCCTATTTTGAAATGATAAAAGTTTTCATATCAATCATATGAAATTATTAAAACCAGTAACTACTAAAGTACAATTTACTCTGCTGCAGTTATTAATGTTGGTCATTTGCTAGCATCATTCTAAGAATCAAAGATATATAAACCATCTATCTATGAAAATTAATTTAGTTAGAATATCCAAAAAGCTTACAAATATCTATTTGTGCCCTAGCTGTTTTGACTTAGTGGATAAAGCACTGGCCTGCAAACTGAAGGATCCCAGGTTCTATTCTGGTCAAGGATACATGCCCAGGTTGTAGGCTCCTCCCTAGTAGTGGGCATACAGAAGGCAACAAATAGATTATTCTCATCATTAATGTTTCTCTCTCCCTCTCCCTTCCTCTTGGAAATCAATAATAATATATATTTTTAAATATCTATTTGCAATAATATGAATTACACAACTATAATTGAAGACAATGGTATAGAAAGAAAATATACTGGAGTTACCTCAGCTTAAAGAATTTGTGTTTGATCAGAAAAAATAGTCTATTTAAATAATCCCAAGGGCTTGGCCACTTTAAAAAGAAGTTGTGAACTATTCTAAAAACAGTCTGCAAAAAGAATATGAAATATCACTCAACATAATATTGTGACCTCCACATTTAAATTATCTACAGAATTCTAAATATTTCCCTCACTTTTGTGCTTTCTCATGCACTTACTACTCGTTTATCTCTGTATCTTGCTTCATGTGGTACTGGATGATGTCCTGAGTAAGGGGGATGAGCTTGAGGAGGTGGAGCATGATGCTGATAGTAAGGATGATGTGGAGGTTGTTCCATTCCAGGATAAGGAGCCTAAAAAAAAAAAGCCCACTCCCATAAACATGTATATCAAATAGCCTTATAAAAAAACCATCTGCCCCAAACAAAATATTTATACTAGCCATCTACTTTGATGGCATAAAGGTTCTTCAAAAAATCCTTTATTTGCTTGCTGAAAATGTCTGTAATAAACTTTAAACTCTAGTTATGTATCTTTTAAGATTTAATGTTTATACTTTTATACAATATCATTTAAATACTAATAAAAAAAAACAGTGATCCTTTACATACTGTGAGCTGAAACTACCCTAAGCACTTTACAGGTTTCATTTAATTCTCATAGCAACCCTATGAAATAGTTACTACCGATATTACTCCTATCCTAAAAAAAGGACACTGAGGTACCAACTGCTTAGGTAACTTGATATAGATCACACTGCTAAGGGGTGAAGATGGGGCACAACATGAAGCATTTCTGGCTCTAGAATCAGCCATCGTAACCAAAATGTAAAAACCTAGTCTTAAAAACAAACAAAAAAACAACCTTCTAGGAAGTAATGAACCTTTAAATTGATGATAAAGTAACAGCAAATCAAAGGTCACTTTTCTTGTTTGTTAATACCAAGATGTTATTAAATATTTTTAATTTTTAAAATTTTCATAGAATCTAAAAGAAAAAACCTCATAATTTATCAATCTGTATGTAATACCTTAAGTGTTAATTCTTTTTCTTTTAAAAGGTAAGAAATAAAAAAATACTATTTAAATTTCCAATTTTTTTTTAATATCTTGTGAATTAATGCTTCAGCTATTCTCAATACCTTAAAATATACTCTAATATCCAACTTTCTTAAAGGGAAAAATAAATATTAGAAACAGGGTTTAATTAATCTTATTTTGTATGAAAAGTTTACTGAACATTAAGATTATGTGCAATCCTAAAGTTTACATGTATTTTGTAAGATTAGCTTTTCCACAATCCTGAGACTGACAGTACTCCATTAAATTTTAAGCCATACAAGGGTTAATTATAATGACCACTTCATTCACCAATGTATACCCAGTGCAAGCACAATGCCTTACAGAGAAAAGATAATAAATATTAGTTTATAAGGCAAACAAAGAATGAAGGAATGTCTACTGAGTTATACACTCAAGAAAAATTAAAAAGAAATGAAACTTGCCCAAGGTTAGAATTTAAAAGTTAAGATATATGAACCCAGGGAGAGTTTATACCACTAGCTACTACAATAACAAACCATAATACTTATCAATTAAGCCTGCTATTAACACAAATCAAATCATTTGTTAGTCTTTAGTTTTAAAAACAGCATGCAATTATTTACTACCAATGGTATATATTTTAAGTCTCTTAATGGGTAACTGTTAACAATCATATTCCACATAAGCACTCAAAATATATGAAACTGCAAATAAGTAACTTGCAAAAATAGAATACAAACCATTCCTTGCCAAGGAGGTGGTGGTCCCATGTTATGAAATTCCCTCACATAATCATTGTAGGACTAAAATAAAAGATAATAATGTCAATAGCAAATAGAAATCAAACCCAGAATTACAAAATAAATCAGATCCTGATTTCGTGTTCATTTAATATATGAAGTGAAATGCTTACCCCATTTAAAAACACATCTCGGCGAACTCCTGAAAATCGTCTGTTGGGAATAAGATTTGTGAAACTAAATTCAGGTAATTCATAGACTAGTTCCAAGAATGTAATTCAAAACTAAGCAAAGAGTGAACCCAACTTACCTGTCTACTTCCTGGTATCGTGGGTCCTTTAAATACCCTGTTCAAACATCAAGCATTTTAGTAAATCAAATTTATAGTTTTTATTATGGCATCATAATTAAACCTTCCTTATCCACTCCTCTCAATTCTTCCCATGAATACAGTGATGCTACTAAGTGATACTTTAATTACATTATTCCATTCTTGGATTTTCTTCTTAGGTTGCATGATAATTTAGGAAGTAATAATATACTGATACCACAGAATTCTAAACTGCTAGGAAGGTTTTTATATGGATCTTCTAAATCCACACCCCAATTTCATTAGATAGAAAATTTCTTCTTTCTGCACCATAAGAAAGGGCAGAGGAAGTATGTTGAGGGACACTGTAATAGAATTTCTTTAAAACAAATGTTTACCTTCTACCTGAGTACAGTCTTGTTTACCTCCTACCTGAGTAGAGAGTCTTGCTAGATCAACCACAGGATACTTTTAAAAAATATAAATTTAAAAGAATAAAAAGTTGAAAAAATAAAGATGTGTACATTTCCTACCTTTTTTTTTTCTATGAACTTAGCAAAATAAAATACAATTTGTGTGGCCATGTTAATGAAGAAAACTTAATTTCACTAATATCCCATTTTGGAGAATAAAGTTTATCAAGCCACTAAAAATAATCACTAAATGTAATTCCCAAACTGTTAATTTTTATAAATGTAACACTGTTTAAAATATTATCTTCTCATAAATACAGGTTTTAGTTCTTTAAATTTCATTAAGAAGACTAAAAGCTGGCTTTCAGATTATAAACAAAATTATTTCCCATTTCTCTCTAAATATACGAAGTTGAAGATTTTTATTTAAAAAAAAAATATTATAATTTCAGTTTCCAATCAAAGCTACGTATCACATGAAATACTAAGTATCATAGGGACTAAAAAGTATAAGGAGTATAAGACCGTTTCCCCTAACTACACCTAATCTTGTGCAATCATCATACATTAGCAATTTCATGTAATTAATAGATTTACGATCATGGATCACACTAGAATAGCTTATTCAACCTTAATAAAGAAAAGGAAGAATTACTAGGTGAGGACAATTATTAATTTCCTAAAGTTTAAGTAGTCATGTCCTAGTTTTCTCACTTTGAAAACTACACATTAAATCAGAAATTTTTGTGGTGGTGTTGCTGTTTAGTAATTTAAGTATCTGCAGGATTATAAAATATTAACCTGGTCTCTGGTGAAACTCAGGGGCATAGTCAATCCTTGGTTTCTTTCTGCTGTTATGAATATCATAATCTTCTGGTCGACGCCTACACAAATTAGACATATTAGAAATTAAACCAAAAACTGTTGGGAGAAGAAAGAGCAAAGCAAGAGTCAAAGTAAGAGTTTTTGACAGAAGTACAGAGGATTGCCTATTATTTACTTTAAAATAAAACCAAAATTTGTGATAAACAAATAATCTTAAAATGTCTAAATTTTAATTCCTCATATTACTATAAATCAACCTTTAAATGTATTGCTGGAAGTAGATATTCTCTGCAATCCTCATGCTATGATGAAACAGTTGAAAAGAGTACCCTGCTCAAAACACATAAATCACATTTTAGTACTCTATAACAAAAGTGAATAGCCAGCCACTCTCAAACTAAAATAAATACCTAGTTTAACAATCAATACACTTTCCCAAATAAAGTCTCCATTCAGGTGAAAAAGGGGGGAAAAATACTGTATCATTACACAATTGGAAACTTTAAAGTCTATTTTTTTTAAAACTTACTAATGTCGTTTTAGGATAAGTCTCAACAAAATTAAGAATTTCTTAAGTTTTTTTCTTCTGCTTTGCACAAAAATATACTTTTCACATAATCATACAGAAAATTTGATACTTATAAAAAAAGTGACTGTACAAGAAATCTTTGATAATCTTAATTCTATAAAAAATAAATTTCTGTATTTAATAGCATTTTAAAATTAAAGGAATTTCTTCCAGAGACAGTGTCTTAAAATAGAACTGGCAAGTAATGGGGCAGAGTTTTAACAGAGTTCATAAAAGATCAAAATGTATTCTTTAGAAGGGGAAATTTTACTCTGCAGTGTTGCTCTTTACTAAGTCTTCCATAAATCTTAATGGTTAATGTAACACACTTAAATACACTTTGTTTTACTTAGCATTTACAAAAGAGCTACACAAAATTTTAAAAAATCCAAATTTTTAGGTAATAAATATATTTTTATCCTTAATGTCTAATAAACTCTATCAAAAAACTTGGCATCACTAGTTTTCCAGCTATTTCTCTGAATATAAACTGCTTTCATTATCTTTTGCAAAGTAAGTTCACGTAAACTATAATTGCAATAACCCCAAGCCCCACCCCCAACAGAATAACACAGTTGCATCTACAATAAATAAGACTAAGAAAATTAAAAGCTGGTTTAAAAAATAAACATACCGCTTTCTTGTAGTTTGGGGAGTGCATTTACGACCGGTATAAAACATGATAGTAACAGTTCATATAGTAGTCCAACTACTGACTTTAAGTTGTAAGCCACATACATATATGGAGGCCCTGGCAGGCTTGAGAGAAGGTGTAGTGGTGTAATAAGTATAGTTTGCAGTCCATTGCAAAACTGAGGTAAAAACTTCAGTTGTATGTACTGTATTGCACTGGAAACCTCTTAGTTTAAAACTTCAAAAGACATCTTGGTGTTCAGTCCTTTTAGGCCAAAAATAAGGGGGCTCTGCCAGGTTTCCTCCTACCTACTTGACAGTGTCCTTTTTAAGCTCAAAGAAATGGGGACTCTTGTTGGATTATCTGTACCTACCACAGGATGTTTCCATCAAAAGGAAACTTAACCAAAGATTTCATCTCATCAACCATACATCCAACAGTCTTTAGCAGAATATTTTAGATTAGCTGTTATGCAAATCTATACAGGGGAAGGTGTTGGGTAGAAGGGCTTAAATCAGTCCTTTGCAAAGACTTCTCCAATTCTGTAACAAGTTAAACCCCCTTTTCCTGGTAAATGATGTTTAGTTCATAAAGTAGTGATCAATAACCATGGCGATCCTCTAAAAAACACGTTAAGTCCACAGGTACTGCCAGCATCTGGAAAAGTTGTAAACAGACACAGCAACAGCCCTTCTTTTTGGTTTGTTGCCGGGTCTCCCAGGGCCACTTGATCCCCTTTGGAAAGGACCTATTGTTTTCAGAAGCTCAGCAAGATGTATGAATTCACTGGGTACATGTTAGAGAATATCTGGCAATGGGGATAACAGATCACGGTGATAAAATTTGAAACAGTCCCAATAATGCTCCTCTTGAATATCAAAATAACTTAAAATATTTTATCCTCTAAAATGAGGCGTCATCTTCTGAAAAAATATTAGTGATCCTTTATAAAAGTCCCATATCTCATAAGGCTTATCCAGAGACACACCTGCAAGAAAAGGCTTTTTTACAAAATATTAACATTTTTTGTGAATAAAGACTTTCTCCTTTCTAGCCTGTTCTGAGCAACAAAGGCCTACCTCATTTCAATTTTATACATTGTATTATCAGAATATTAACTAATCTAAACTGGTTATTACTCTTTAGCAAATAATTTTTTTCTGTATAAGGAAAGATCCCCATTTTCCTCTTGAAAAATGACTGAGACCAAGGTGACCATGTGAAATCCTCAATGAAGCCACAAACTAGTCCATGCAGCTTGATTTGAGGATTTTCTCTTTCTTCTTTATCGCAGGACAAACTTGATGAATCACATTCCTCCATCATGTTATTCTGACACATGTGCCTACTATCAGTCCAAAGAACGTTTCTAACCTTCCCACATCCCGGACTGGTTCTCGACGGGATGGACGTCCTCTTGATCGGGGCTGAGAATGCATTCTTCTCTTGTGTCGCATTTTATGAATGACCTGATACAAGTCAATACTTTCATCGGGGGGAAATAGAAGACAAAGCTGGGTTCCACATTCGAGTTCAATTTCCTAGAATAGGAAAGTAGTAAGTTTCAAGATGAAAATAAAAGTAATTTCAATAAATTTATATTTTCATGATGTACAAGAACAAAAATAGTCTGTTCTGGAGGTTTCCTTCCCAAAGTTCAGTGGTCACATAGGATTCTAATTAATAAACTTCCTTGAAAGGTTTAAATCTTTCAACAGTGTTTCATGTATTTAATAAAGGAAAAATGAAAAAGTGTAACATACCAAGTTAAATATACAAATGCAGTTGTGTAAAGCTGAGATAATAGCCTTCTGCAAATTATTTCTTTGTATTAATATAGAAATGTCAGGACATATCCAACCACTCATCTCAATACAGTGGAGGAAAAACAAGTATGTTAGTGTGTGCTAACAACTTTGATAATTATAAACTGCTAAATGCCCTGAAATATATTAGATTAACTATGAAGGCATTCTAATCAATAGGCTTTTAAAAGTTAAGTTTTATTTCCCAATTATCAACATTTTCACTTATAAGCAATGAAAATATTACTTGTGATTCAAAATTACCTACAGAAACTATGAGGGTCAAAGGTTTGGGTTTATTTTAAATAATTGCACTTTTAATTTCATTTGCAGACTTGAAAATCTCTGTACATGTACTGATCTCTTTATAAAGCTTCCTTCTATTCAGAGAATGTAATCAAAGATGTTACCTGGTTATTTCTAAAATGTATACAAAATTCAGAATATCAGTAATAACATAATAAACCATTTAAAATCAGGCTAATTCTCTCCAAAAACATTTCCTTGGTTGTATTAATGAAAGTATAAAATAAAGTGTCTAATGTTATGGAGGTCTTATTAACAAGTCATAACCATAATAACCATAAACTCCAAATAAGAACATTTTTTCTTAATCCTGCTCCCAAATTCTTACAGAAATGGCTTAGAATGTCCTTCAATAAAGATCTCAAAGAGAGTTGATTAGATGTATTTTTTAAAGAATCAATTCAAACAAACCTGTCCATCACGTCCAATCTTTACTGGTTTATGTTCATTCCAAGGATTGGTGAGATGAGCCGACTTAGTGAAGGGTAATTCACGCCTAAATACGAAGTAATAGAAATTATGTTCTTTTGCAGAATCCTTTAAGGACCTTACACTACCTTCAGTAGTACCACTCATGATTTAAGTGTACTAAAAATTAGTCACTGAGACTGGCAGAGCTGATTCCCCAGCAAAAGGAGCCCCTTTAGAGATACACTCTCTCCACACTACCCACTTTGAGTGTACTCAAAAAGAGCTAAAAAACACTCTTCTGGGGAGAGGTCAATGAAGGGGAAAAGGAAACATATGTGATACTTTCAATAATAAAGAAATGAAAAAAATATTTATAGTGCTTAAGAACGGGCTTGGAAACCAAGACAATTTGGTGTTTGAGTTCCAGCTCTCTTAACTTATCTGAGTCCAAGTTTCATCATCTTATAAAGAAGAATATTACCACCTACTTCTTATTTGTTTTAAGTAGTTTATAAATGAAAGGACATATAAAATCTTTAGTATATTTCTTAATTCTGTGTCCTCAAAAATACTTTTTATTAAATGATTAACAAAGAACTGAATCTTAATCAGGTAGTTAATACAGAATTAAAGTATGCCCTCTCCTTGGTTCAAGGCTGCTTTCCCAGATTCAAGTGTCCTCCCCTTTAAATATGGCAATTATTGTTTGGCTCAGTGGATAGAGCGTCAGCCTGTGGACTGAAAGGTCCCGAGTTCGATTCTGGTCAAGGGCTTGTACCTGGGTTGCGGGCATATCCCCAGTAGTGGTGTGCAAGAGGCAGCTGATTGACGATTCTCTCTCATCGATGTTTCTAACTCTATCCCTCTCCTTTCCTCTCGGTAAAAAAAATCAATATATTAAAAAAGCTCTAAATATAAATGTTTACTTATAAGTCTGTAATTTACATGTATTAATTATGTCTTCCACTTACACTCTAGTACAGTATCCTATATAATAGATAATATGCAAATTTTACCCTCACACCCTCACAAAATGGCTGCCTACGACCAGGGGTTAGTGAGGGACAACCAAAGGACTGAATAGCAGGCTGTGTGGGGCCAGGCCAGCATGGGGGCCATGAGGGGCAACCAGGCTGGCAGGGGAGAAGGGGTGCAGTTGGGAGCGACCAGGCCAGCAAGGGGGGGCCATTGGGGATGACCAGGCCAGGATCAGGCCTAAACTAGCAGTTGGACATCCCCCAAAGGGTCCCAGATTGGAGAGGTGCAGGCTGGGCTGAGGGGACAACAACCCCTGCACAAATTTTGTGCACCGGGCCTCTAGTTCTATATAATTTTAAACACTTAACTCCTCTGTGAGCCATAGGGCAAAATGGTCTCACTAACTTAAAAAGGGAATGCTTTATTTTTGTAGTTCTTTACCAAAATAGCATGGTGCTGAAAGCAAACACAACATATAATAAATACCTGTTAGTTATCAAGGGGTAATAAAAAAAAAATTAATAGCATTTGTATGATTTTATCTATTTGTGTATGAGTAACGCTAAATTAAATAAATGCTTTAATTAAAAAAGATTTATCTACAATGCAAATGAAACTACTCAGCCAAAGAATATACATAAGGTCAAGAGCTGTTTTCATTCCTACTTTTTTATCAACAGCTATCATAGAATAAATAAGCATACACCATTATTCTGTAAAAGAGGTGGTATAATATAATATAGCCGAAACTGGTTTGGCTCAGTAAATAGAGCGTCAGCCTGCGGACTCAAGGGTCCCAGGTTCGATTCCGGTCAAGGGCATGTACCTTGGTTGTAGGCACATCCCCAGTAGGGGGTGTGGAGGCAGCTAGTTGATGTCTCTCTCTCATAGATATTTCTAACTCTCTATCCCTCTCCCTTCCTCTCTGTAAAAAAATCAATAAAATATATTTAAATAAATAAATAAAATATGAAAGTTTTATTTTGTTTTTAATGTGATGGTCATATATTTTCTGGAGAGAAAAATAATTAGAAAACTTCCTGGGAAAAGTGGCACAGGTATAAGCCTAAAAGACAAATGAGTCAAGAGGAAATGCTTTATGTAAAATGGTAATGCAGGAAAGATTATGACATTTAAAGCAATGAAAAGGGCTTGGAGCAAAAGCAAAATGAAGAAGAAAAAACATAAACAAGTAAGCTGGTCTGCTGGATAAAATATATAATCATTTATTTTAATCTTACATGAATTTTCTTAAAGAGACATATTGACTGCTCAAATTTTATATGCATTTTTAAACCTTAAAAAACAATAACAACTGACATTTATAAGGAAAGTATATCTAAAGTTACAGTGACAAGGTAGCTTACTCTGTGGTGTGGTGATGTGAATGTACCAGGGAAGTGGACAGTGAAGAATGAATATGCTCACTAAGTAGTACTAACAGATTAGGATTCTTAGTCTATTACACATCTTACATCATACATCAAGAGTGGTACAACTCATAGAAATCAGCCTTGAATATTATACAAATAAATTAAAGAACCTAAAAGAAATGGATGATGTTCTAGAAAAATAAAGTTTACTAAACTTATCTTAGTAAAAATACAATTAAACAGACCAATATTCTTAAAATAATAAAATGATCAAAGAAATACCTAATCCCCCCACACAAAAAAAAGTGTTACAAGAGTACACAAAATCTTAGTAATTTGGGTTTGTACCTCTTCTTTTGCTAAATACATTTTTAAAAAGTTGGTAAAATAGCCAGTTAAGTAAATGAAGAGGAATATGAAAACAATATATGAACAAATTAAGCCTACTTTCTAAAATTTAGAAACAAATTTGCTTATCAATAATTTGAAAATAAGGTCAACAAAACCAAGTCACATCCAAAACAAAATTAGTTGTAGTCAATCTAAAACTGGAAGATCATTTTTCTCCTACTCCTTAAGAAAGTATCATCTACAACTATTTTCCAGTGACACCAATGTTTCTAATCATAAAAACATTAGATTAAAAAGCTTGTCCTTAGGCTTTTACAATTTTATCCATCCAAAAAATAATCGTCTTTGTAAGAAATAATTGGCACCTTGTTTTCCCTATGAACCATTTTTTTTTTTTTTTACATTTTATCGATTATAATTTAGCTAGAGGCCCGGTGTACGAAATTCATGCAGAGTGGGAGGGGGGTTCAATCCGGCCTGCACCCTCTCAAAATCTGGGACCCCTTGAGGATGTCCAACTGCCAGTTTAGGCATGATCCTACTCGAGGGATAGAGCCTAAACCGGAAGTTGATCATCCCTCTTGCAATAGGACTGCTGGCTCCTACCTGCTCGCCTGCCTGCCGGATTGCCCCAATCGGTCCCCTGCCTGCCTGATTACTCCTAACTGCTTCTGCCTCAGCTCCCACTGCTGTGACTTCATCCAGAAGGTTGTTCAGCTGTCCAGTCTAATTAGCATATTACAATTTTATTATAGGCTAGATACCCCTTGCAGGAAGATTCCTGCAATAGGGCTTCCTGCTGCAGTAGCTGCTTTCCTCCCTTCTCCTTGCCCACCTGCTTCCTTTCCTTCTCCACCCCGCTTGATTGCTTTTCCATAGCACTTGGCTTCTTTCTATGTGTCTTCAGTCCTCTCTTCTCTCTCTCCCCCCCCCAGATATGCAAATTAACTGCCATCTTGGTTGGGTTAATTTGCATACTCGCCCTGATTGGCTTGTGGACATAGTGAAGGTGCAGTTAATTTGCATGTTTCTCTTTTATTAGGTAGGATTATAACTTAATTTCACTTTAATTCTAAGAATTATGAATTTATATTTAAAAAACCTGAATTTATATCATCTACACTCTCAACACTATGACATTATGGTCCAACATTATTTTTTTTCATGTGCTGTACCTTTTCCATTTTGTATCATGGATAATTAACTCTGCATGTTACATTTAAGTAACAAATCATAATTTACTTAACCAGTTTCATATACGGGATAATTTAGATTGCTTCTAATTTTTCCCTCTAGAAAGTAATGAAGAGTAATGATATATTTTTATGCATACAGCTTTTTGCTACTTTATTAACAATCAACCAAATAGACTATTTTCATGTTATGATTGCCTATGTATCTTCAAAGTTCCTCACTGTCCCATAGTAAACGTTTAACTGTCCCATAGTAAAGTGGCAACTTTACTCTTTATCTCTGCCTTCTGTTCTTCTCTTTAGAAAAGACAGCTCTCTATCTTACCCACACACCCTCCCTCCCTGACAGTTTATGTTTTCCTGTTCTTCCTTTTCTTCTTCTTATCCAATTCCACCTTCCACATCAAAATCCATCACCTAACCCAACATGTAACTTACAAAAACATTAGAGGATCTCTTTCAGGTAACTTTTATTTAACTAAAATGATTTTATAAATAATAGATTACTACATGCCATAGAGTTCACTTAAATAATTAGCTCATGTTTAAATGAATTTCTAGACCCAACATGGAGGTGCCACGTTAGCAAACAGAAACTTAGATTTGCCTACAGTGTTTCATAGTCCACAAAAAAGGCTGATCATCTAGACACAGCCAACCAGGTATTTTCTATTTGTCTCCTCCTTGTTCTTTATTCTATAAAAGATTTCTGCCTTCTCCATTTTGTAGTTCTTCAAAGGATACTGTCCATTTCATATAGTGTTAAAGTTTTTTTTGCACTAACTAAATTTACTTCTTTAACCATTTTTTTAAACAATGTATGATCATTAAGTAAGGACTTAATAGTGGCAGTAGCTCAGTGTTCAAAATAAATATTTTTGTTATAAACCTATTTAGATCTTAATTATTCCAGTTTCCAAAAGATCACAATGCCAACTTAGCATGGCTTGTTAAATTCCTTATAAAACACAATTTGTTCACAATTAAATTAGCCACCTCTGTGTTAGCAAAGTCAAAGTGAATTTTCCCATTCTATAGTAAATAACATTTTAAGTCATTAACATTACATAGATACATGCCAGATAAAATGCCAACCATCTAATTCATGATAAATTTACCACTATATTACTAATAGAGAATAAAGTACATAAAATTCGACTAAATAAACCTTTGCATTTTGCATTCCATAATAGGCTATAAAGGTAGTAAACAAGACAAGCTAAGCATATTGATGTTATTTTTACTTTAACATTTTTCAATTTTGTGATTCAATCAGTCTAGAAATAAGAACCCCCCCCCCCCAAAAAAAAAATTTATGAGAATAAATTAAAGCTAAACAACCATGGATTTTTAACATTCCCAACTGGTAACACATTCATTCAAAACCAAGGCAACTGTAATTATGACTTACCTGCAAATCCAGTCAATTTTAAAGACACCTCCCAACATCTTTGCATTCATTCCTGCTGGAAGCACCCAATGTATAGGAGATCCTCCATGATGTGATTCTGAAGAAAGTCTTGCAAATCCTAAGGGGAATCACAACATATAAAAAATGCTAATACAGGATAATTGATGTTTTTGTATGTCCAAATTATTTTTATTTTTTACCTTGAAATTTTCCACTCTCTCTGACAGAAAATATTAAGATTACACTCCTTGAAGATCTGAATGCAGCATTTAACTTCTTCTCATTTACTGGCAGCGTGGACCATACACCCTATATGAATGATGTAACAAAATTATATAGATTGTAATTAATATAAATCTTTCATATTTCCAGTTATATTTATAAAAAACTAAAATTACTAATATTGTACTTTAAATTTACATAAGCTAGAATGAAGAAATGTCTTATTTATCAGTTGTCAAAATAATGTAATATTTTTTTAACTTGGGAAAAATACAGAGAAAATTACCAACCTTTGCAAAAATCATTAAAACAGAGAAACACATTGGGGGGGAGGGGGAGTTGTATTTAAATCTTATGGCCTAGAATCCTATGTAATAAAAAACAATTCCCTAAAAATATTATAATATCATAGCCATTTACTATAGTAAAAAAAAAAAAATGTCTGAAGGAGTCACAACACATAATTTTTTTGTCTTGAAAAACTGTGACTGACAAAATAATTAAAAATTGTGAATCCATAAGAATTTGTTAAGTTTCTAGCATTTATAAGCTTTTCTACCTAGGTTCAAAGTTTTATGTATCAAGTTTTACTGAAAGAGGCCTGGTTCTTTACATAAAGCCAAAACAATTAATTTCCAAGGCATTTGAAGCAATTCTTTGTTATGAATGATTAAAAGAGAGAGAATGATAAGGTCAAGCAATAGCTCTAATTCAGATTAATCTCAAACTAAATCTCATTCACACTAAATGCTTAATTCTGCCTAAATCCACTCCTTGCGTGGACCTTTAAACTAATTCTTCCCTTTTCTTCTAAAAATAAAAGAAGCTCTGCACATTCACATAGAAATGAATTCTTTTCAAGATCTCAAGGTTTAAAACAAGTCATCAACATAAAGCAAAAACTGGTTAAAGAAACCTTTAAAAAAAGTGTCAGTAGAAATAAATTAGCAAGTGAATATAGAAAAACAAAAATCAACAGAAACACATCTTTTACAGTATAAAGTATAACACATATTATTTAATATTGAATATCTGACTTTTAAAATCATAAGATTTATTTTAAATCTAAAAGATTAAAAGGAAACTCAGATTACTATTAGATTGCCTAACCAGTACAAAACAGACCCTAAGTTGCATCGGGCTCTGGACCTCCAAAACTTTTATGAAAAATGACAGTATCTTATGCTAATCAACTGGACCTTTCCATTTAAAATTTTCAAGATTAGGATAATTTCAACAGAATTGACACTAATACCTTAGCTTTGGCAAGAGATACATTCTCATGGTTGTTACTCTTTATGAGGAAAAATCTTGCATCTTGTAGGACGTATTTGAGTTTACTCGTTTGATCTGGAAGAAAAAAAAATCCAAATTGATTCATGAGAGGTCATTATCACACAAAGGAGTGTAATTAACTGAAATTAGCCCTCCACAACCCAGATAAATTTTTAAAATCCATCGTCACCCATTCAACCTATAAAGCTAAGCCACCATAAGACATAATAAAGCAAAACTAAGAAAAGAACCAGCATTTGGCAAAAAGGTAAACCTAATCCAGTGATGTTCTGATATATCAGATCCATATTAAGTAGGATAATGGCTACAAATTTTATAGATTTCTCCCATCAGATTCTTTTAAAGATTACTAAAAGACTATTATGCTTATCCACTGTGCCCCCAAACTGTAACATATCCTGACATGTTTACTATTACTCTAAAAGACATAGAGTAAATGATCATAGAGCTCTATGTAAGACATTATTTTTTTTCATTAATATATCAGAACATTACTACATTAAAACTAACTATTAATGAATAATAAGGCAAAATAATGGCTTTATGCAGCATGCAATGAAAACAATTTCAAATTTAAATGATACCTTTTCGGACAGCACGAACGGAAGATGATAATTTCTCATGCTTCTTTTCTGAACCTGTATTTAGCCAAAGTACATTTGTTCAGATTGAGCTTTCATAGAAATAAGACAAAATTTCTACAGGCTTGTCACATAAAGTTCCCATTTAAGACAAATTATTCTTCCTGGCGCACCCACACACACACAAAAAAAATACTTCTCAATGTGTACGAGTGTTTTGCTTTTTGGGTTGTTTGGATTTTTTTAAAATATGTATATTTGAACAGTTTCCCCTCAGAAAACTAGTCACTGAATCATCATCTTCCAAGAAAAAAAAAAAAAGTGAAATTCCACTTAAGCAGTAACAGAACAGGATTAAAATAATAAGAAAAAGCTTAGTTTTTTCTAGAATTATGACATTGAACATGCCACCAACAAGTTCACACTAAACTATAGCCTTCACACACTTTCTACAAATTACATTAGAATCAGTCAAATATAATTGCAAAAAAGGATAAAATGAGAATACCTGCATATGACTCTGATGCAGAGCTTCCACTTCTATCAAAAACAATTGGAGAGATGCCTCGAGCTCTCTTTCTTTCCTTCTTTTTCTCATCTAAAAAGAATTCAAACAAGATTTTTTAAAACATTACAATATAGGTATAGGTAGCATCATTATGTGTTTTGTATAATGCCTAAATATTAATCATTGTTAATCTCTCTCCTGATGACCCCACTGCCTCAGAATGAGGTGTTTCATTTCAAAGACACTATTCAAACTTAAGAACACTTTGTTATTTCTCCCCCCAACTCTAATAAAATAAAAACACATGCTCATAACCATAAATCATTTATCCTATATATAAAGGTGGTCTCAAAGTTTTCCAAGAGTGGGTGGAAAATCTGCAAAGCAAACCCAACTTTTCTTTCAATATAATTTACTGTATTTCATTCTATGTATCAGGTTCCATTGTTTTAAAAGTATACTATCAGACTTCATCACAATTCCAACTCATTCTATCTTAGATTAAGTTATAATAACTTGGCCAGTGATCCACAATTACTCAGTGGTGAAAACTAGTTTCAAATGTATGTCCTGTAACTTGGAAGTACAAACCCTAAACTCTATTCTTATTGAGCCAATTTTTGATTTTTTGGCAAGATATTTTACTATTTTTGAAAGGGGATTCTAGGTCTAAGATGAAAAATTCCAAGGACATCCTAAGTTCCTTTTCTTTTGGTTTAGTTGAAGCATCTTTCCCTTTGTAATTTACTAATAACTACTTCTCCAAATAGATGTAACAAGAAGCTTGTAAATGATACTCATTTTCCTACGTTAGAGCTGAAAGGGAGAACAAAGCAGCACTTAATTGAACAATTACAAAGCCAAGCCAAGACCACTTATAGATAGCCAGCCCAGGGACAAATAAAAGCCTAAACCACTGTTCGACTGGTAGCTATGATGCACACTGACCATCAGGGGGCAGACACTCAATGCACAGGCATGGAAACATGGAAAAGATGATGAATCTCAGAGGGAAGGGGGGCAGAGATTAACCAAAGATCTTATATGCATACTAGAGGCCTGGTGCATGGATTTGTGCACCAGAGGGATCACTCGGCCTGGCCTGCAGGGATCAGGCTGAAACTGGCAGTATGACATCCTGCTGAGGGGTTCTGAATTGCAAGAGGGCACAAGCCAGGCTGAGGGACCTCACCGGTGCATGAATCCATGCACCAGGCCTCTAGTTTCAAATAACCAGAGAAATGCATTTATTTCCAGGCTTGCTGGCTTTAAATAATACCTAATTTTGTGAATGGATTGAACCTTTTAGTATACAATGACTGAGAATGTGTGTGTATGCAAAATCATCTCTTTATAAGGCATTTGTTTCATTCACTGACTACCCATTCCTATATAGTGCTTTGCATACAGTAGGTAACAATTCACTGAATCAATGAATAAGACATCCACATGAAACTAAAAAACTAAAACTTCCTTAAAATATTTTTACATCATTTCTTTAAAAAATCCTAGTATGTTTTACATTTTTCCTCTGAATAGTACTTAACCATATAATCATTGTGAATTGGTCACAATATCTTGTTATTTAAAAACAATACTTTAGAGGGGTCAAATACATGGTGATGGTAAGGGACTTAGCCTTTGGGTGGTGAGTATACTGATGCTATATTATAAAGTTGTACACCTGAAATGTCTACAATGTTATTAACCAATGTTACCCAATAAATTTAACTAAAAAAACTTTTATGGATCCAAGTACTAAAATGATCTCTCACAAAGATAATGAAGGGGGGAAAAAATAGGAGCACAAATAAAGTCCTATCCAATTGTTTTTATATAATGTTGAATCTACCATGAGAAATCTCCAAGCATTCATCATCTTTTTTTTTTGTATAAATAACTCACACTGCTCTTAAGTTTATGATCCCTTCTCCCATCTATTATTTTCCGTCAAAAGAACAGTAAGTCATCAAAAAGACCTTTTAGTGCCCTAGCCAGTTTGGCTCACTGGATAGAGCAGACAGTCTGCTGACTGAAGGGTCCCAGGTTAGATTCTGGTCAAGGGCACATGCCCCGGTTGCAGGCTCAATCCCCAGTAGGGGATGTGCAGAAAGCAGATGATCAACGATCCCCCCCACCCCTCCATTTTCCTCTCTGAAATAAAAAATATATATATTAAAAAAAACCAAACTTTTAACAACTATCAAAATGTGTCACTCTTATAAAAAAAAAAAAAAGGTACTAAAATATAAGGTAAAATAAACTGAAGTCTAGAAACTCATGGCACAAAAACAAAAAACTTCATGGCACAGAAACTAAACTGTAATCTCTTATATTTAAAAAATGACATCTTCTAATCAAGAAGTCCCAAATCCACCTCATTAGTTCTTTTGCACATTATAAAGAGAAATTACTCCATGATAAATACTAAGTATATTCTAAACACAGACCTTAAAACATGTTCCACATAAAGGAATATTTATAATATATCAAAAATCTGCAAATTTTCTTTAAGAGTGAAAGTAACTAGTTTCCGGTATCTCTTAAGGATTGGGAAAGGGGGAGGAGGAAGGAAGGGAGGGAGGGAAGGAGGGAGGTCTTCTAGTATGTTTGAAATCAAGGCTTTTTAAAGCTATTGGATACCATTCTATTTGAAATGCCTTCTCTACAAAAATATTAAGTATTATTGCCAAAACCAGTTTGGCTCAGTGGATAGAACTAAAAGGTCCCAGGTTTGATTCCAATTGCAGGCATACCCCCGGGGGACGGGGGTGGGGGGTGGGGGGGAAGGTGGTGGTGGGGGGTGGTGGTGGTGCAGGAGGCAGCTGATCTATGTTTCTAGCTTTCTCTCTCTCTCCCTTCATCTCTGTAAAAAAAAACAAAAACCAACTATATATATTGTTAAATACCTTGCTACAGATCAACATCATCTAGAAACTTGTTAAAAATGTAGACTTCGGGCCCTAACCAGTTCGGCCTGTGGACTGAGAGGTCCCGGGTCAGATTCCGGTCAAGGGCATGTACCTTGGTTGCGGGCACATCCCCAATAGGAGATGTAAAGGCAGCTGATCAAGTCTAAGAAATAGTTTCTACCATGGATACCAAAGAGAAGATTCCTATTAATAAAATGTTTTTAACCCCATGGGTGTTATACATATTCTCCACAATAAATGAACATTCCTATTACCAATGCAATTTTTGAACTATACCCATTATTATAAATTATAAAAAATATATCCCATTTGTTTTCAAAAAAATTATATCAAACCCAACTACTCATCTATTTAATTTAACTAACTCCTTTCAAAAACCTATTTCGACTCCCAAACTTACAACTCTAGTGAGCAAAAGGCTGAAAGCACTGGGAGGGGTGGTTTCAAGGTGGAAGGAGTCAATGGGGGGGGGCGGGGGGGAGGAGGAGGGGACATCTGTAACGCACCTATATATCAAAAGAATAGAATTATTCTTGTATTCCAATGTTTAGTACATTTTGTTTATGTAGCAGTTCTGACAGCATCTTTAAATAAGACAACTGTGAAAGTATAATCTTCATATAGTGGCCAAAGCTCTTTAAGTACCATGACCTCTCTTGGCTGAACTCTCTGAATATCTCCCCAACCACCTAACATTCCTACATTTACACTGCATGGATCAAATAAGGATAAAGTGGTAGGACTTGTAATAAAGGAATGACCCAAGATGGCTCTTACCCAATCTCTCCACAATAATTTTACACCCAGCCCTTTGGAGACCCTGCAACAGTCAGTCAACACAGATACAGAATTGAAAGAAAAGTTTGTGGTCCCAAAAGAAAAAGAATTGTTTCCATTTCTATTGCCACATGATGGAAATCTAAAGGCATTTAACACAGAAATATTATAATACCTAGTAAACAGGTGCCATATGAATATATTTCAAGTACATCAGTATTTAAATAAGCTGTTGGTAATATGAAAAATCTAAGAATTTATAACATTAAAACATTAAGAAACAATTACACTATGTTCATTTATAATATATCAATCAAGCTAGGAAATGCCTTTACAAAGATGTGTATAACTTATTCAAATGTATTATAATACTCAAAAAAGTTTATAATTAACTATAAAAAAAATCACAAGATTGTCTTATTAACATCCTCCATCTCTTCAAATATTTTATAATTCAATTGAAACATGTTTAAGAATAAAACCAATCAGGTCGATTTTTTAAAAAAAACAACAAACTTCTGAATACAAATGGTACCTGATCCATCTGTGCCTGAACCAGATCTGACAGATCCATCCGTGAAGGAAACGGATTCAGAATCAGAGTCGCTAGCTTCACTTCGAGTGTCATAATCATTTCCCTCTTCTTTCTGATCCCTCTCATCCTGTTCATATTCTTCTTCTTCCTCCTCCTCCTCTTCCTCTTCTTCCTCCTCCTCCTCCTCTCCATCTTCATCCACCTCTTCATCTTCCTCTGGGTCTTCTTCTACCTCTTCCTCCTCCTCCACATCTTCCACTCCTTCCTCCTCATTCTCAGTGTTGTTGCCTTGCTCCTCAGAAGAACCACTGCTGCCAGTCTCATGGTCAGAGCCATATTCTTCAGAGTTCACCTCTTCCTTGGAAGACTGGCTGGATCTGCTTGCACGCCTATCCACTTCAAGCCCAATTCTCTGATGTTTAAAGAAAAAGGAAATCAGCAGTCATATCACAGACAAGGTCAGAGTGAATAAATAGTTCTAAAGCCTCGAAAAGAATTGCTTTGTTTTATATCTGAAATAATATTTACTACCTCAGACCCATCTGGTGTAGGGGATTTGGTCCTCCTTTCAGCATCCCTTTTACGGAGACCAGGTTTTTCTGGTTGACTCTTATAAGGTTCTCTGGAGGCACTGCTTGATAAACGAATCTTCCGATCTGCTTCTAGACGTTTGTTTCTTTCAGACCTTTGATATTCCTCATTTTTATAATCTGTAACTGACTTTCCCTTTGTACTAACTATTCTTTTGTTATTGCTAACTGATGAGCTCAGTGGCTTAGAAATCAATTGTCTTGAATGAACAGAGGGCTTTTGTCGTTTTACATCAGTAGATTCCATTCTGTCACTTTTTCTTTTTGATCCTTAAAAACACAATTTAAAATGATATACAAAAGTTTAAGTATTCCATTTACTTATCAAAGATTAACAAATACAATATATCAGAGAGGGGAAAAGCCTCATTTAAATTTCTTCTGAAATAATCTTATTCCAAAATTAATCATTAAGAAAACATAGCTTTCAAACCTTGGTATAAATTAATTTATTTGGGATATTTCACACATTTGAAGGGGAAAAAACACATTATTCCTTTTCATGTGGAATTAGGTACCTCTGTTTATGATTTTGCTTTTGGTATTAATACTTCAAATAAGCACAAAAGCAAAGTTACTTTCTTAAATCTCTACATACACTCATTTTAACGAAAATAATAGAAATCTTACCCTTTTTCTCGTTTTTATCTTGTTCACTCTCTGGATTATACAGTTCATCATCCTGTTCTGGTACTTCTGTCAAAATATCATCTAAAACATTAAGTTCTCCATCTGAAAACAAGAAAATCAAAATAAGGAAAATCAGTATCATTAAAGCATTTATTTTCAAGTACTTACTATATTGAGACTATGGAAGTATAAGAACATAACCCTGAAGACATAAGAGTACTTCCTATAGAATCATACAAGTAAAAGAAATTACAGAGCCTTACACTACAAAGCCAGAAGTATAGATCCCATAGGGTATGAAAGTATATACTGGGGTACAAAAAGCAACTGTCAGAACTTTTATATTTTTATCTCATCCTTCAATTTATAAATTTTGTAACTGCTTAAAATGTGCACAAATTATCATGAGAAATACATATGTATAACTTATAAACATGTATTTATCAAGGATTCGGTACTCCCTGCAAGATACTTATTGATTACCAAGAGAAAAGCTGGCTGAGTCCAGCATAATCAAGTAATCAAAGTTACTATAATCAATAATGGGTGGTCAACGCAACATCATGGACTGCCTGGTACGGTGCACTGAGAATAGAATAATTCTGTGACAGTCCTATGAAAAATGCAAAATTTAAACTTATGCATGAGGAAACATCAAACAAACCCTAATTAAGGTACATCCAAAAAATGTCAATGTCATAAAAACAGATTAAAGGAGACTAAAGTGACAATATAGCATTTGATTTGAAATATAAGTGAGATAACTAATAAATTCTAAATAAGGTTTGTAAGTTATAGTATCAATGTTAATTTCTTGATTTTGACAGTACACATACTATTAATACATAAAGTTCAGTAAAAGTCAGTCCTAATTTTTAGGAAATACTTAAATTTTTAGGGACAAAGAAGCATCACATCTTCACAATGGACAATTAAGAAAATTATTTGTATTAGTCTTATAGTTCTTTTGTCTAAAATAATGTTAAGATAAAGTTGTAAGAAAAAATTATTGATGAGCTACACAATCAAAAAAGTTTGAGGGTACAGGTATGACTATAACTCAACCCAAGTGGCATGGCTCAGTGGTTGAGCACTGACCTATGAACCAGGAGGTCATGGTCCAATTCCTGGTCAGGGCACATACTTTGGGTACAGGCTTGAACTCCAATAGAGTAGGGGGCTTGCAGGAGGCAGCAATTCAATGATTCTCTCTCATCACTGATGTTTCCCACTCCCTCCCTCTCTGAAATCAATTATATATATACAACTTGTTTAGATAAGGAAACTACTGCTATAACTGACATACTTATTCAGTGACCATGAAAACATACAATTTGGTTTTGTCATCCCATTCCCACCCTCACTCTGTCCAATAGGATAAAGTAAATCTTAGAAATACATGCTAATATTTAATGCTTTAAACTGATTTTTTTACAATGGTCTTATTCCAGTATCAAAAATTATTTTCAAATTTAAGGTCTGGCAAAGAGAAGTAAAAAGTCATGGAAACTAATGAGACAGAACAATTATATATTTGAGGCTACAGTAAAAAAGTAAAGCCCCTAATATAGCAAGGGTTATTAACTTGAGGCTATAAGCAGGTTAGATGGGATTCAAATTTCCCCAAAGGGTGATAGAAATCAATGACTGAAGATAAATAAAAGTTAATATAAGAGTAAGGGAAAAAAAGCAAGGTTAGGCAGAATACAGAAAAGGTAACATTGGAGTTAAGACTTAGTTCCTATTTAAAAACATCCGAAAATTATATATGCCCGAAATGGAACAGTAACTAGTTTCTTTGGTGATAAGGCTCCTCTCACCTTCTGGATTCATTGTTTTCACTGGAAGAAAATTAATTCCCTCAAGATCTAAATGGTAGCAAACAGCCCTGGTCGGTTTGGCTCAGTGGATGAAGTGTCGGCTTGTGGACTAAGGGTCCCAGGTTCAATTCTGGCAAGGGCATGTACCTTGGTTGTGGGCACATCCCCAATGGGGAGTGTACAAGAGGCAGCTGATTGATGTTTCTCTCTCATTGATATTTCTCTCTCTCTATCCCTCTCCTCCCTTCCTCTTTGTAGAAAATCAATAAAATGTATTTTTAAAAATAATAATAAATAAATGGTAGCAAACATAACTTCAGACTTTATAATATAATTAAAACATATAATTTGATATAAAAAGTCCAAATTATGCAGATATTTAATAATTCTTGGGTAAAAGCTCTTTAGTCAGTATAAAAATAAAAAATAAAAAGGTGAGTCCCAACAAATCTTGACAGAATGTTTGTAGAAACAAATTTAAAACTATCACAACAAAATAGGCAAGTAAATACAGTGCCACTTCTTTTCATGAAATCATTAGTTCTTAATTAGAAATATCAACTCAAAAGCTTGAACCTTCATATGAATTTATACACTTTACATATGCCAAATCTAGTAAATGAGAAAAATATGTAGTATCATTTAAATCAACTTAAATTTCAGACATGACTAACTCATAGTTTCTGTATTATCAAAGTAAATTATTGTTTTAAAAAACTGTAACAAATAATAAGTAAAATTTAGAGATTAGCTGCAGTTTTAGAACGCACCTACACATTCTTAAGACAATATTAACCAATCTTGCTTTTTTAATACTTATAACTTTCAGATATACATATCATATGAAACACATAAGTTATGTTTAACATCCACTCTTTTGCAGATAAACAGAAGTTCACATTGACCAAATTTACTTGTCTAGAAAAGAGAGTCTAGAGTTCAGGCTTTCTAATAAATCCTGGGTTAAATTAGATAGGGAACATTAAAAATATCTTTAAACAAGTATAAGGCAACAACAAAAGTGCAAATTATGAAAAGGTAGCATGCACTAGATTAATTTTAAATTAGTGTACCAGAAAGCTCTGTATTACCAACATTATAGCATCTAAAATTTACTTTTATCAATTATAGAATCTTCATGTAATGGTCCTTACATTTTTCTCTGGTTTATAGTCCACCATAATAAGCTAACATTTTATTACAATATTGGCAAACTAAGACCTGTAGAACATGTTCAGCCCATGGTTTGTCTTTGATGCACAAGAAAATAATGGTTTCTGGATTTTTAAGATTGTGTTAAATAAAAAACAAAACAAAACCCATGACAAAGCCCACATAAAGACTAAAATATTACTATCTGGCCCTTTACAAAAAGTTTGTCAGCCCAGATATAAACGACCACATTTTTTAAAAATGTTTTCAAACTGGTTTTTAGAGAGGAGGGGAGCAAAACATCAATGCTGAGAGCAGAGCATTGATCCACTGTCTGCAAGCCCCTACTGGAGAAAGAGCCTGCAACCCCAGCATGTGCAGTGACCAGAGAACCAGCAACCTTTCAGTGCACAGGGCAACGCCCCACCAACTGAGACCCACCAGCTCGGACTAAATGACCATAAATTATTTTTAATATGTTTTTATTGATTTTTAGAGAGAGAAAAGGGAGAGGGATACACAGGTAGAAACTTCTATGAGAAACATCTTTGATAGGCAACCTTCTGAATGCTCCTTACCATGGATCAAGCCTGAAACCCAGGCATGTGCCCTGTCCAGGAATCAAACCAGTGACCTGTAGGTTCATAGGTTGACATTCAACCTCTGAGCCACACAAGCAGGATTAAATAACCATATTTTAGTTACTTTCCTCTTATCACTGAAGCCACTTACTTATTTACTGAAATATGACATAGAGGTGAAAGAGATTTGGAATTAAGAAAATCCAGGTTATCATGTAAGAGCTAGATCTTCGTGGGAAAATCCCAGGCTGCGTTCCAGTTGCCTCACCTCTGGTAAGAGGCAGGTAGAATAAAAATATCAGTGTTTGGGGAACGAAACAGGAGGGCAATTATTTGAATCTCCTGATGAGTTTTTCAACCTGTAAGCCTTTTCCTATTGCTACCACATTCTAATAAATCTTACCTGCTACTAACAGTTTAATAACAAGAATATATGATATACAAAACCTAGTACCAAACACAAAACCAATTTTTTCCCCAATAAAGCAAATATATACATGTTCTGGTTATATACTGATGTATATATAACATGCCACCACAAAACTTAGTGTTTTAAAACAATACAATAATTTATTAACTATAGTTCTGGAGTTCAACTATATGTAGGCCCTCCCATATGCCTGCAGGTAGTGTCCAGGGCTAGAATCATCTGAAGGCTTGCTCATTCATGTCTAGCTGGCACCTAGGCCTTGAAGACTCAAAACAGCTGGGGTTTCTAGTGCATTTTTTTTCTGAGGTCACTCTCCCCCATGACAGCTTTGGGGAATATACATATATGTGTGTACACATAACTGCCTGTCGATATTTACATGTACTCTCCTGGATGAGCATGTGTGTACATATATAATTCAAACCCCGAAACTTAGCTTTGGACATCAATAGCAAATGTCACATAGCTAGTCAGTTTTTAATGAATTCCAACCTGTAATAATTTATAATCACACAATTACTGTATACCAGGAACTTTGTGAACAAGACATACTCCTGGCCCTCATAGAGCTCCCAGTTTGGTAATGTCAGAAAACATGTTACTTATGACCGAAACCTCAGTGGATAGAGCATTGGCCGACTGAAGGGTCCCAGATTCAATTCCGGTCAAGGGCATGTACCTTGGTTGCAGGCACATCCTCACTAGGGGGTGTGCCAGAGGCAGCTGATCAATGTTTCTCTCTCATTGATGTTTCTGACTCTCTATGCCTCTTCCTTCCTCTCTGTAAAAAAATCAATAACATATAGTTTAAAAAATTAAAAAAAAAATGTTTCTTATGAAAGTGTAATTCATTATCCATATCTCTATTCTTTTTTAAAAATATATTTTGACTTTTTTTTTTTTTTTTACAGAGAGGAAGGGAGAGGGATAGAGAGCTAGAAACATGAATGAGAAACATTGACCATCTGCCTCCTGCACACCCCCTACAGGGGATGTGCCTACAACATGCCCTTGACAGGAATAGAACCTGGGACCTTCAGTCTGCAGATCGACGCTCTATCCACTGAGCCAAACCAGTTTTGGCCATATCTCTATTCTTTTTTTTTTTAATATATATATTTTATTGATTTTGTACAGAGAGGGAGAGAGACAGAGAGCTAGAAACATCGATGAGAGAGAGAGTCATCGATCAGCTGCCTTTTGCACATCCCCCACTGGGGATATGCCCGCAACCAAGGTACATGCCCTTGACAGGAATCGAACCCTGGTCCCTTTAGTCCCCAAGCTGACGCTCTATCCATTGAGCCAAACCGGTTTCGGCCATATCTCTATTTTTTAGAGAGAAAGTTATGAGCTTAAAAAAAATAAAATGTATACAAGGCATTTATAGTATAAAAGATGTGTACTTCCTCATATAGAAAAACAGCATTTAACATTAGTTAATGCCACAAACATTTCAACTACTTTTATATATACTTTTTGGACAAATAATCTCAAGAATCAGAAGGAACTGGCAACTTATCCAGTAATATAAACTTCAGCTCCTAAATATGGGTATTTGTAGAAGCATTATAGAACTCAATGTCTCTTTATTACACAGCCAATGTGCAAAGCCTTATAATCAGAGAACTCTATGACCAAAAATATTTTACCTGTTCTGTGATTAATAGCAAATTTCTGCAATTTAAACTCATTTCTTATCCAAATCTTACACTATTTATGAAATAATTTAGAAGGGACCTAAAATTTGTGATGTGTCTAAGATTACAAGGCTTATCTCTATTATTTCCCAATATTTCATATATCAGACAATAATCGATACCCAGCTTCCCACTTTTTCTTGTTTTCAAGTATGAGAAGGAAAAGTCAAGTATTGATTCTAATTCTTGCTATTATTCTAGCTGTGTAACAATGATCAAGTTAATGAGACACTCTGGGCCTCAGTTTCCTTATTTGCATAATAGGTTATTCCAGAAATCTCCCCATTCCAAAATATGCAATTCCAGAAGATTTGTATTTGCCAGCTTTAGATACTCATCTTTAATCTAAACTACAATAAGCACTTATACCAGAAGTTTTAAAACTGGCAAATTCAATTATGGAAATTAAGTTTTATAAAAACTTCACAAATGTGAGGCCTTTCAAATGTTGGACAATTTATCCTAAGTGCCGCTAACAGCACAGCTACTTCCCAATTTACAGTTACAAAGTCTGTGTTTAGACTCCATTTTCACCAATAAATGCTTCTCCAAAACAAAATATTTAAAACATCACCTGCTGTTCTTCCTCAATGTACATTACTGTATCAACTCTATTACTGACTTACAACAATGTTTCAACAGGTAATTGATTCTTGCGTTTTACTCATTTTTTATTCGGTTCATCTCACCCATCACAACCCCCATTCCTCCCACACAGCTCACAGATTACACGAACACAAATGTTGAGTGAATCATTGATTTAAATCTTTTAATAACTGACTTGACTGCTTATTAAAAGCAGTTTCCTTTGTTCGCTAACACCGTGCAATCCTATATTCACACTCCTTCCAGGTGTCTCAAAAAAGTAGGGATGTTGATTTTTTTCTCTCTCCAGGATTCAATTAAGGAAAATGAAATTACTATATCCTAATCACTCAACTGCTTTAGGACAGGAACATTACCTTAAAACACATTCCCAACCACCCCACTTCCCAAGCTTGTCCCTACCCGAGAGCAGTTTATCGCAGAATGAACTCTCTCTCTATAGAAAATTTTTTTAAAAAAAGGAGCACAGGCCTAATGCAATTTGACTCCAGAGCCCATTGACTCCAAGTTCCCACCCACCCCACGTTAATTAGACACAGAGAAGGGCAGATCTATGAAACACATTTTTTTTTTTTTACCGTGTCATATTTTTACCAACTATGACATTTCCAAAACTATCATGGACTCTTAAGACTTGTAAAAGATGTACTGACCCAGGATCTACTCTACATCAACATCTCTAGGGCCTAGGAGGTCGGTATTTCAAAAGATGGGACATTCCACTTTGACACCATCAAAATTCTTCCCATATCTTACTGCAAAATTATCCTCCACCTCAGTTAAGTTACACCCGTTTGTTCCTGCTTGTACCCTCTGGGAGGTTTGCACAACGTGTTTTTCTCTAAGAATGGTGACCGGGAATTTTATGTCGGGCCCAAGTCCTATGAACGACCTCCTCAAACATCCTGATTATCCAAAAAGAAGTATTCGGGGGGCCAAAATGGCAATTCTTACCCCTTCTTCTCGGTGGTTAGGTAACGGTAACAGCTGGGGCGTTACTTTCACTTACTCCACGACACGAATAATCCGCCTACCTATCCGCCTTGTTAAAATATACTTACTTACCCAGACTACCTTGCTTTGATCGATGCATTACCTGGGTTTTCAACACGTTGCCTAACAGAAAAAGGTAGTTCTGAAAAAGTACGCATGACCTCCGCATCAATAATCCCAACGGGGAAACAACGCCGAAGGGCCTGCGGCTCGGAGCGGAGCGGGCCTCCTTCCCGCCGCGCCCCGCACGGCCGAGCGGAAGTGAAGGGGGAATGGGGATCCGAGAAAAGCCCGAGGCCAGAGGCGCGGGGTGAGGGCGCCCGGAGCCCCAGAACCCGAAGGGCAGGCCGGGCCTCGGCCCCTGCGGCGGGCGCCTCGGCGGGGGCGCCGGCTCCGCGCGGGGGGGCGCGCTGACCTTCCCCACCCGCCCCCGCCCCCATCCATCCCGCAACGGAGCGCCACCGCGGCGCGCCCGCTCCCCGCCCCGCCGCCGCCCGCCCCCTCGCCCTCCGCACTAACCTTTCTCCTCCCGGCTGTCGGCCGCCATGGCTCCTTTCCCGTCCCCGCTGCTGCTGCCGCCGCCGCCGCCGCCGCCGCCGCCGTCGCCTCGACGCGACTCGCGCGTGGGCTGCAGCCGCGGCAGCAGAGGCACCGGAACGTCCGTCAGTCCGTCCGCGGGGCTGCGTGCTCCACACCTGGGCCTCGTCTGCCACTCACCTTTCTCGTCTCAACTCTTTCTCTCTCCTCGCTTTGCCCCGTTCTCCCTTCTCCCCTTCCCTCCTGGCACTCCAGCCTCGCCGAGGCCCTGCTTTCCCCGCTAAGGGGCTTGGGGACGGGAGGGGGACGGCGGGGGGGAGGGGGGAGGGACGGGAAACAGATGGCGGCGGCGGCGGCGGGCGGGCGGCGCTAAAATGGAGCCTGCTTCCTGCGTGAAACAATCCCGCTCCCGAAATGCCCTGCGCTGTTTACGCTTCGTTCCTCCCTGGCAACGTCACAGTGCGGAGAGGGGCGGGGCAGCGGCACCGGCGCCCCGGAACGTGGCGTGACGTCGCACGTAGCCCCGCCCCCCTGCGAGGGGGCGGTCCTTAGGCTAAGGCGCTAAGCCTCTGCAAGGATTGGGTCATTTCCCGGCCTCTGCAGCGCGGAGTGCCTTGGGGGTGGCTCGGTTTTCTCAGGCGAAACGCCTACGGGCGCACCTGCTAGCTCCCGAGTGAAGGACTCCGGATTTGGGCTGTTCCCTTCCTTATAGTTCCGTGTCCTAGGTTTACCCAAAGGCAGTGCAGGATGCAATCATGCAATCACCTTGTCTCATTGGTCATAAAAGCCTACCGGTTTTGCATTTAACTGGGGAAAAGAATTATAATGTCTTTTAATCATCTATCTCATTGGTCATAAAATTTAACTGGGGAAAGGAGTTATAATGTCTTTCAATATTGCATTCTAACTCACATAATAAATTTGATTTGAACATATATCGAGGCTTCGGGGTACACAGTTGATTGAAACAGACCTCTGAGAAATTTAAACTGTAAAAATGACCAAAAATTACTTAACTACATCATAGGGTAAAATATGCAAGGAAACTTTTTTTTTTAAGTTCATTGCCCATAGGAATGAAAATGTAATTTTGTTTCACACTTCATAACCAAATTTACAGGGGAAAGAAAATTTGAAGGAAAAAAAAAAGAGTGACATTGTTATATGAAAAGAAATAATTATATTCAGAGAATGATCCTAGAGTGTATTGCTCCTTGATGGCCATTGTAACAGGTTGCAAACTGGTTCCCACTAACCTAAGACTTTCCTTGAACTAGCAGCACTGTGTGTTGTTAATGCCATTAAGGTCGGGTACTCCTTAATGCCTTTAAATAGGCTCATGCCCTTTTCAGTAAGTCTTGGCCTTCACCATCCCTCTCAGTTGCCTTCTCCCTGGTAAATATTATTGATTGAAGTATATATCTTTCAAGTGTATGGATTAAAAAAATATTTTGGTAGATGAATTTTGTTGCCCTGGAAAGATTATTTAGAGTAAGGTGCAAAGGAAACACAGTCCAGAGTCTTAGAGAATACATTGTAGGGAAGGCTAATTTACAATATCAACATAGAATATTTTGTCATACCAGAAAGAAATTAAAAAAAAAATGCTAGGGTTCTATCAAAATTACTCAGAAGAGTTGCTAACTAAACCGTCTCCCACTGGACAAATTTGATATATTTGGACTTTATGTAAAGGTAAAATTTCATTGGATTGAAACATCAAGTATGTTTTATTCCACGAATTGATATAATAGTTCAAAAATTTTTCAGTCTCCTTTGAATGACGCTAGGGAATAATAGTTCATTATCTTGAAAACTGGTAAGCAAAAAGAATTCATTATTTACATTGTCTTTTCTATTAGAATTGTATTCAGAGTTACCAAGCAAGTATTGATGAAGGGAAGTTTTGATTTATGAAAGTATTTCAGCTAATATGACATAATGATAGAATTAGGATATCATCATTATGTATCCAAGAATTCAGTAAACAGATAAAAGCAATGGTTGTTAGTGGCTGCTAATTAATATAACAAAAGATAACCAGATGTTCTATGCCTCCTGATGGGAGTACATAACACTATCTCTGAAGAAATCTTACTCCAAAATTAAACCTGGATCTCATCAAGACTATTTTCAGGAGAGGGTGATTCTGTTCCCAGGGCACATTTTAAAATGCTTGGAGAAGTTTATGGTCGCCACCACTGAGGGAGTGTGCTATTAGGATGTATTGGGCAGAAGCCAGGAATGCTATTAAACATCTCATAAAGAAAGACCCTGATCCAATCACAAAGAATCATCCCCCTCCCCCCCGAATGCTAGTAGTGCTCCAGTGGCTGAGAAATCATGCTCTGAGGCACAGGCAAAGCACAGGTGAATATGTTGAGCATGCCACACAAATATTACCAAAATCCACACAATAGAAAACTATGGACAAACAAGCAGGTGTCTTTAAAAATAAATTGCAAGAAGGGAGGAAAGAAAGTTGGAGTATATAACCTATACATTAAAATAAATTTATGAAAAATATAAAAATTGTAAACCAATTGCAGAACATGGATATTACGGATTGAATTGTGCCTCACAATGTAATGTGTTGAATACCTAACCTGCAGTACTTCGGAATGTAACCTTATTTATTTGGATGTAGAATTGTTTCAGATGTAACTAAGATAAAGTCATGGTGGCATACAGTGTACTCTTAATCCAATATGATTAGTGTTCTCATAAGGGAGAAGAGAGACAGAGAAGCATACAAGGAAAGTACAGCCATGTGACAATAGTGGCAGGGATTAGGGTGATATAGCTAAGGAATGCAAAGGATTGCCAGCAAAAACCAGAAGCTAAACAAGACAAGGAGGATTCTTCCCTATACTTTTCTGAAGGAATATAGTACTGTCAATACCTTGATTTCAAAAATATCTTTTAGAACTGTAAAATAATAAATTTCTATTGTTTTAAGCTGCCCAGTTTCTGGTACTTGTTACAAAATGAATACTACGAACCTTATTTGGATACCAATTTGAATACACACACACACACACACACACACACACACACACACACAAACACAGACACACTCCAGCAAGCTTTGAATACTGAGTAAATGTCTGATGACTTTTAAAATGATGGTAATGAATTGTAATTAAAAGAGTTTATGTGGCAATGAAAAGTGCTCAGAAGTATCCATGTACAGAGTAGAACCATGAAATGATTACCAGATTTCAGCTATTATTGGGCTGGTATCAGAACAGAATCAAACAAAGCTGGGGGGGGTGGGGGGGTAAGAAAGGCTAGGAAAAGAGCAATGGTAGGGAATTCTGGGGATCCTGCCTTTCTAGGGAGAGGCCACATCAATATCTCATAATACCCCTTCCGCCCCAAAAGGCCACACCATAAGGATAAGGATTTTGGCCTAAAGTAAACTTTAATCATGACTTATGTGCACAGGGAAAACAAAATTTGAAGGTGAAATCCCACATAATGTTAATAAATGACTTGGGTTTACCATAAATCTTCACCCATTAAGCATAAAGGTGAAGCATAAACGTCCAATCTACACAAACTCAAAGTGATCAGCATTCACCTGACTGCAGCCCTAATTAACATCTGACTGCAATTTCTTAAGCCAGAACTGCCTAGATGAGTGGTTCTGAAATTCTGACAAGAAACTGTGAGAGATAATAAATACTTAAATTACTTTTAAACCACTAAACTTTGGAGGTGTTTTGTTACACGGCAATAGATAACTAGCACACGAGATCACATGTGAAAGTCAATTGTATGTTTACAGCAACAAAGAGTTGGAAAATGAAATTTTAAAACATTTATAATAGTATCAAAAAACAAATACTTAGGAATACTGTAAACTACGAAACAATGTTGATAGAGATCAAAGAAGACCTAAATAAAGAAATAGATACTCATCATGCATCAATATAAATGTCAATTCTTCTTAAACCTGTTTATAGATTCAAAGCAATTCCAATTAAAATCACAATAGGATTTCTTACAGAAATTGACAAGATAAATTTTTTAAATTTGTGAAGAAATGAAAAGGACATGGAATAGCCAAATCAATTTTGGAAAACAAAAACAACTTTGGAGGACTAACACTCTCTGATTGCAAGAATTATAAAGCTATAGTAAACATGACAGTGTAGTACTCAGTAAAGTAAGACAAATAAATAAATCAATAAAGTGTTTCATACCTAGGCATGAAATACAACATTAATTATATAGATAATTTGTGTTATATTAATAGTTGTGAAATATAACATTAAAAATGAATTAGAGCCCTAGCTGGTTTGGCTCAGTGGATAGAGCATTGGCCTGAGGACTGAAGGGTCCGGGGTTTGATTCTGATCAAGGCACGTGTCCGAGTTGTGGGCTTGGTCTCCAGTAGGGGGCATACAGGAGGCAGCCCATCAATAATTCTCTCTCATCATAGATGTTTCTCTCTCTCTCTCTTTCCCCCTCTCCCTTCCTCTCTGAAATCAATAAAAATATATTTAAATATTGAATTAGAGGTATATGCACCAACATGGCTAGATTTAAAAAATATAATAGTGAGAGAAGAAAGGAATAGAATGGAGAAAGAATACAAAGAGAAATGAAATGCCTTTCATCCGATATGCTTTATTTATTTGAAGACAAAACAATAAACCTGAAACACATGGCAAAGTGAGTACGTAAAGATTACATTACTGTCTTTAAAATTTTTGGAATATTTTATTATTTAAATTGCACATGAAGAATGTTAGTCCAAGTTTAAAATAAAACTCATTTATTGCATAATGCATCTGTGTCCAAAATAGTTGGTCAAACCAGTAAAAACAAAACAAAACAAAACAAAAAACTGACCCTCTCATAGTCTTTGTCTCTTGGCCTTCTCCACTTCTGGCTGTGTTTCTGCTCATTCTGAACAGCTTGATGCAGACTTAAGAGAACATTTTAATGGAGTGTGTGTAGGTGAGCGAAAAGCACAAGCAGGACTGGGTGTCTTTTGTTGAA